CTGCCATATAGGACTTGGTCGCCTATCCCTAGGGCTCCAAGTACCTCCCCAGAAGGTATTTGGACCCTCTAAACCCACCCCAAACACCTTCTTAGAAGGTCCTTGGAGCCCTAGGGTATATGAACGCGACCAAGTCTTGGTCGTCTCAGCCATTTCAGCTCCCACTCCTCATCGATCGTCGATGCCGACCAAGGCCGGACCTTGGAGTGTATCCATGAACTACCCTCCAAACAGGGAGACCTGGTACACAGCCATGTTAACAACTCCTTATATGTGGAGGGACATCTGTCAGCTTGCTTGCTGAAAGAGGTTGTATTGAACTCCCCATTCATAGCGGATAACCTCCTTCAACTTGCAGCACATGCAACTCTAAGACCACTGCATCCATTTGCACTCGTACAATAACCCTCAACTGCATCGCAACCTTCGCTACACCACAAAAAACTACCGCGGCTAACTTCGCATGATGGTCTTCCGTGCAACCATCTGCCATGTCTTTTTGGAAGGGTCATTTGTGATGCCACAATTTAGAGTCTTTGGTTCCAATAAACATGTTTTTTGGGTTTGCTTGGAACACTGTGACAGCAATCTGATTTTGACCTTCCAAGCAACCGTCTACAGCTCAGTGGCACATTGCGCAAACGTGTCAATCAAAAATTGTCATCACATGTCATCACCACTGACAGATTTGAGCGTGGAAAAGCCTGAACGGTGGGAAATTCGTTCCACGCCCCCAGTCTTGTTGATAAAAACACATCATGTCCTTGTGATGTGTTGTGGAACTCGTCCATTGTTGTGACAACCTGATGGGAAATCGCGAGTTTTATGTTGTACTTTTTCTTCTTGAACAACAAACCTAGACCATCCATTAATTTATCTACATTGGGGTGGTTTGGGGGGTGAATGTAGGCACATACTATATATTCCATACATGGATGGTCTGGGAAACATGTCAATCAGACTCAAATGAGCGAGTTCCTTTAAACTGAGGGACCTGGCAACGGCAAAAGCCAACCTTAAGTCTCGCCTGCGAGAAGTAGGGGCGAGAAGAGTTGACGTGCGCAGCGGAAAAAGCGAAGCAGCTGGGGACTCAGGAGTCAGTGCCTTCCAAACAGATGCTAGATGTACCCAAACACTCCATGCAATAACATATTATGGCACGTTTATCTACATTGGGGTGATTTCAGGGGTGAATGTCAATGTCGCTAGGTTTTGTTTACAGTAGTTACATGGAATGGCTGGTGCGGGACAATAATCTCCCCAAACTAGCGGGAACACGGTTTTAAACAACACCGGCCAGCAGCAGGCCATCTCATCGAAGATGTCTGGTAAGGCATCTCCTGGCCAACCAAACAAAGCTGAACCTTGAACACCTTCATGTTAAGTGATCAAGACTCCCCCCCAGGAAGACTGCCTGGAAACAGATACCACAGAGTATGCCTAGTCCATAGTATATATATCACAAACACTCCATGGGACTGCCATATATGCCGTATCCCGCCCCATTCACCCCCCTGGCACCACTCCTGGCCTGATCGGCAGTCCTATGGCAGTCCCACGGAGTGTTTAATGTTTGGGTCTATACAGCTCTTCCATCGGATTCCAACCGCCTTGATTTAATGGTCTGTTACATTGTACGTGGTACCAAGCCGACCCTCGAATCCAGGTCGCCCTAGAAATCCAGGTCGGTACCTCTTTCAGAGTTCCCCGACTCGAGCCAACCCGTGTTCGAGATGCCGGAACACCCCGGCATGTCGGAGGATCGACATGAACGGAACTCCAAAAGCACAGAGGGCTTCGACACACACACACACACACACGCAGAGAGAGAGAGAGAGGCCACTTGAGGACGTGCAGATGTTTGAGGACTATGGCAAAGAATATATGGCTTACTGGTGATTCGTGTCATGCATAAACTGATGCCGCCATTGAGAGCGTTTGGGCTAGGCCTAGGCGGCTAGGTTCTCAAATGCTTACTTTTGGATCTGAATGAGGAAGCAAAGGATAGCAAAGGGATCCCGTCGCATTGCGGATACACGCACGCAAGTTCTGACTTGGGTGCGGAATCTGTCGGCAGTCCTATCTCTTTGCTTTCGCCGACCCACCCAAAACACAAATGGATAGACATGCATGCAAAAGGATGCAAAAGGTCTGTTTCTGGTGAACACCCCATCAACCTCCAAGATGTTGTGAAGAAAACAAATCACTATAAAACTCAAATTGTTTTTTCTCCGTCTGGTCATCCGTTTCGCTGCAAACATTCGTGCAACAACCCGTGTGGTCCTGCCCCCAGCTGCAACAAGCCGCCGGGCTGCGAAGATGATCCGTTCTCCCCCCAAAATCGTGCGCCGGAAGCGGCTTGGTTTGCGAACCACCCGCAGGGTCGGGTTCTCGCTCTCCAGCAAGGCACTGCAGAGAGGGCACTTAAATTATGGCGACCATAAGCAGGTCAGCCGAAGCAAAAAATATCTGCCGAAGGGCAACACAGAAGCAGCTTCACCCTGGCATGTAACGTTTACATTGTCCAAGCACCATTGTCCAACGCTATAGGCTTTTACTGAAGAACTTACAGTACTGAAGAGGTTAGTAGCTACAAAATACCAGCTCCTTCGTGTTTCGACCCATACCCGGGTTCCGGGGCGGTGTGGTGGCGCCACCACGTCCGGCCCGCTTTCGCCACGTGACCGTTTTCAGGATGTCAAAACTGCCGATCGGGGGAGGACTTGAGGGTCAATTTATAGATATAAGGCAGGTGGTGAAGCGCAGAGAGGTGCTTATACAATATCATTTGAATCATTTGACTGCGCTTAAACCATTTGGACTGGCTCTCGATTTGATTTGACTTGGACTGACGGTCCCACTTCTGTCCATCACCACTGTGGATAGAGCAGAGAACTGCTGCCCTCAGCGCTTCTGATCTCTTCACTTCTCCATGTGCCCCGCTGCCCGTGCACGTCCAACATCAGCTCTTTGAGCAACAACCCAAAAAGATCGATCTTTGGTCATCCCAAACCTTGAAACAAAAAGAAACAACATCCAAGATCCAATCAATACATAACAACTTTGGTATGCTTAGGGCACTAAATCCAAGATAGCCAGATATAGCCAGAGAAAACCAACATGGAAACACGATGAACTAAGGGAGTCCCAACAGATCCTTAATGATCCTGTGGTTATCCCCTCCCATTTCATAGAGGATATGGACACCTGGATGCCATAAGTATTGGAACCATATTTGAACCATTTAGTTCGGGACTCGGTTTCCAGGCAGGTAGTTATCTCTTACATTACATTCAGTGTCGAGTCTGGGCCTTTCGAAAGGTGATCCACCTTAGTTGGAGCTGAAACCTTGACCTGATCCACCAAAAAAAACACGGCTCGACTTCTTCTTCTTCGATATCCCCTATCACGGGAATCAGTGCAAGTACAAATACAGTAAAAACTCCAACTCGATCAGTTCAACGATCTACGAAAACCAAGTCTCTAACTTTACTTGCTGGTTGAATGCTCCCGCACCTAGTTCGGGTGGCGACTCGACAGTCATAGCTAGTCATAGCTAGTCCGGGGGGGGTCGTCAGCCACCACGTCCAACGTCAGGTTTCCTGCGTCGTGTTGATTCTGAATTCATCTCCTTCGGCGGATGGACGAAATCTCTCAGCACCGAACTAGTCGAACTCCGTCGGGACACACGCTCACGATCGCTCAGCTCAGCGGGGTGCCGCACGCTGAGCGCTGTGGTGCGCAGCAAGCTCAGCGGACTGAGCGGCTTCGAACGCATGAAAGAGGCTTTTATTTGCTATGATTTGCTGTCCAAAAAGGATGGACAAACGAACGCCTATGCATCCATCCAGTTTGGGGAACAAACATCATCCAGTCCCGCGGCCAGCAAAACGGCTCCCGTCGCTGGTTCCGACCAGTCCCGGGGTGGAGAGGCTCAAAAAAAGAACGACGGACCGTTGAACGGTCCATGCGGCTGCAGCTCGGGGGGGGCTCAAATGTTTATATCATACACTGCCCTAGGGATCCAGTCGTCCCTTCTCACGAAAGGTGATGTGTTATGTAGGTGCCAGGAGGGTCCAATCACCTGCTGAGAAGGTACGACTGGATCCCTAGGGCTGGACCATCCGACCATCTGGTGCAGTTCAGCCACACCCAGATGGGATGGTCCTGGTATTTATCCGCTGAATTCCAATCCTCAAAGGTGGTTTTCACCTGCCACACAAACAAAACTATGACGACATTCTCCATTGATTATGTTCAATTGCAGAAACCATACATGGAGTGTTTGGGATAGATTGCTTGTGACCTACGTTGAAGATACCACCATTCGCCACTTTGAACATACCACCACCTGCCACAGCAACAACCAGAAGAATAAGAAGAAGAACATGAAGAAGAAGAAGAAGAAGAAGAAGAAGACGAAGACGAAGACGAAGACGAAGAAGAAGAAGAAGAAGAAGAACAGCAACAATCAACAATCAACAACTCAACAACAAAAACAACACCTAAAAACAAGAAACGCGCACAACCAAAGAGCCACGATTGAAACAAATAAAAGAAACAAAAACCCAGGCATGCAATATCATGCAATACCTTCATACTAATTCAATAACATTAGATTGCACTCCCTGAAATCATCACGGACGTGGATGGCATGGCCTTTTCCTCTACAAACAGGTGGTTTCCCACTTCCAAGATAATCAGCTGGAGTGCAAAATTCACAGAATCCGCCAATCCGCAAGCTTACCCAACCCCTCTTCTCATCTCTTCTCCGCCACTGCTATCCACTGCCACCATCACAACATACCACAACAACACACCTGAGTCCCGTTTGTCACCGCTTGGCTCCTTCTAGACTGCACATGTTTGCTCCTGCCTTGAATTGATCCACTTCAGTTCTTGTTGCACCTGATGCATCATGCAAGCTGCTTCAAGACGACGTGAGCGCGTGTCTTCTCGCGTGTCTTCACCAGCAGACCGCTGAAGCTGCGGGAACGGGCTCAGACGGTCTGGCTGCTCATTAACTCTAAGAAGTCCCTCATCTGCATGCTCCTCTCTCCTGTCTGCAGTAGCTCGAGCCTGAGATTGTGGAGATGACCCGAACGGAACCGAACGACAAAGCAGAACAACCCGTCTCAGACCGCAAGACCATCCAGCGTTTTTGCGCTGCGTGAAACGCACCCGTGGATTGAAGAAAGCACACGCGAAAACAAACAAACACAAACCTAAATTATAATATATAACCTATATAGACACTCCATGCCTACATTGACCCCCCAAACCACCCCAATGTAGGCATATATGGCATACATGGAGTGTCTGGGGAAGCTATATATAGCCAAGAAAATTAACTATTGCTTCTTCCAAGTGACCGAATGCTGGTTTGAGATCACTTAGGCCTGTAAAAGGTCACTCATGGACTCCAAAAAGGTCACTTGGAAGAAACTTGTAATTAATGCTCTTCTCCACGCCAAGGGTTTGGCGAATCATCGAATCTTCCTACAGTTGGGTTTCAGCCAGAGTCGAGTCTGACCACATCCTTGCTTCAGTCCAAAACCTGGTTTAGTCATTTTGTCCATTTCGCGATGCCGAGAGGAGGTGCTTGTGACAAAAGGATGCACCTAATTACTTCCGGGCTGGTTTAATAAAAACAAACAAAAAACAACTATGCGGGTGATTTCGCCCCCTTCAGATCGCCTCGCCATCGCCCTCGCCGGCCCTCGCCTGCATCGCTTCTCCCCAAAACATCAGCTCCTGTCCCCCACGTGGTCGTTTCACGTCTGTCCCTACACCTCCAGTCGTACCTCCTCCCGGGCTGATTTCCGCGACAGGGGTGTGGTCCGCATCTGAGAAGGTACGAGACTGGGGCATCTGCCTATCCCAGACACGACCCTGTCTGGGACTGCCAGGCCACTGCCTTCAAAACGGCCGGGGTGGTGCGTGCCAGGGGGGGTCTGCCCGGAACTTGAAGGCAGTCCGTCCTGGCAGTCGACAGGTCGTGTCTGCCTGTCCCACGTCTAACGCCCAGCCGCACGTCCCGTTGCTCGGTGGCCACGAAGTCGCGGGCACGGCGGCCCCGGGAGGTCGGCCTCGAACGCGCGCGCGGTGGCGGGCGAGCTGGCGGTGGGCGAGCTGCAGGTGGAGCCGTGAAACCGCGGATCTTGATGAGGTGGACATCTTTAGGATGGAGTTTGGAGCGCTTTTAGACGAGTTTGGGGGAAGCTATATCTAGGGCCCCCCGGTTTAGTGTCCAATTATAGCTCCTTAGAGGTCATTCGGGATGTCCATGTCTACCACCCCGAAACAGGGGGCCCAGGTATATGTGTTATTCTATGGCAGTCCCATTAAGTCGTGATGGAGATACCTGGTCTATCTACCGCTCAACCCATCAGTCGACCTGAGCCGTCCAGGACCTGAGCCGTAACCCCTCGGCCGGGCCAGGGCCGTTTGGGCCAGGCCAGTGACATCGGGATCGAACCCCCCACGAATCACACGAACGGCTCAGGTCGTGGGAATTGTTGATGGGTTTCTTGGGGTGTAGTTCTTTCAAATGGACCAGCCATGACCAGTCATGACCAGTCCACCCATTGTTGGTTAGGAAGTACCTCTATGATAGCTATATATGCATGCCGGACCTATACTAGTTTGATCACAGTGTCATCAAGTTTTCAGGCAATCCCATTTAGTTTTGGTTGGTGCTACTGTTCCTGATCAGTTTTAGAGTAGCAGAAAACAACGATCGCCCTCTTTTCGTGTGCCGTCTTCTCATCGCCATAGAATGTTCCATAGTTTTTCTTCCCATCTCTCCCAGAAAGAGAACACACCTATTGCCAGACAACGACCTCTTTTCAGATGTTCTATCCCAAAGAACGCCCTGTTTTTGGTCCGGAAGATCTGCCGAGGAAAACGACCCACCTTGACTCCTTCGGACGTCCGATGGTCCACCGGACAGATTGACCCCAAGGATCGACTGAGATGAAGATGGGGCGAAAAGCCACCCCCAGGGTGAAGTGGGTCCAGTGGACTTGACGACCGACGACCAACCTGATCCTTCCATCTCAAAGACCGTATTGGGATCGATCAACCAGAGAAGTGTTGGGCGGAACGCTTGGAAGTTGGAAGATCTATAGATCCGCCTACCCAAACACGACACATGGGACTGCCAGGACGGACTGCCGAGAAACGGCCAGGGGTGGTGCCAGGGGGGTCTGGCTGGGGCGGCAGTCCGTCCTGGCAGTCCCATTAGTCGTGTCTGGGATAGCTTTAGGTCAAAGACCTCATTTCACCGGTCGTTCGCACCAGGTTAAACCTGGGTCCAACTGGACTTCTTGGGATTGGAAACACGTGCTGGTGGGGCTCCCAAAGTCGACTAAGACCAGTCCCAGGTTGGGGGGGGGGTTCGTACATCCAAAATTCCTGCACTGTTCCTAATCCAGAGGTGTGTCAGGACCCTATAACGACCTCGCCTATCCCAGGGCCGTTGGGTACCCCCCAGGTCGTTCGGGTCCCGGTCAGGTTCCAAGACCTCTCAGCCGATATCGATTGGAACCATGCGGGCCCAGGCTCTGATTTGGATCCACACCCAGGTTCAGCAGCATTCGCACCAGCTTGGCGTTGCCCAGCTTCGCTGCGGCATGAATGGGGGAGATCCTCGGATCGTGAAGGTGGGCAGAGGCGACCGCTCAACCCGAAGCAGCTACTGTTGACCTGATTTACAGAATACAATATACACTGCCCCAGGGATCCAGTCGTCCCTTCTCAGGAACGGTGATGTGTTCGACACCGCTATGTAGGTGCCAGGAGGGTCCAATCACCTGCTGAGAAGGTACGACTGGATCCCTAGGGCTGAATAAGGCTAACCAAATCCCCAAACCAGTATAAAGCACACATTGTTGGGCAAAAAGAACTGATTGACCCAGATCAGGCTGATAATTTGGTGTCAATGCTCTATTTGAGGTGGCTTCTATGTGCTGTATGCTGCCTCCTATCAATCAAGTCTTGGAAATGGTTCACAAATACTAAATCAATACAAAAGCACGTGTTGGATTCCTGGATTACTTAGAAAGTGCGATTTATGCATGATACTTTGCATTCAAAATATGGAAGCTTAAAATCAGCTTTGACATGGAGGGTGGATGTAAACCGAGGTCAAGACGAGGGGCGGGGATCCTGACCAACCCGCTACCGAGGTGAAAAAACGTGAGCGTGACCGAGGGTCCATGTCCATGTCCTCCGAAATCTCGGTATGGAGAATTCCAACAATAAATACACGTATATAGCGCCAATTGAAAATTAACTGCCGGTATCTTGTTTCAATGAAATCATTCACTTACTCTTGCCTGGAGCATAGCCCAAATACCCCTTTTGTTCTTGCAGGTCAATCAGAACCACCCCAGTATGAGTACCCCTGCGAAGCTGAGTCGGGCATGGTGGCGTTCAGACCTTTTGCAAGTATGTGTGTGTGTGCAGGTCAATCACATGTTGTCATAGACCGACACCTAAGAGGTGTGTCTATAGCATTCCCAGACACTCCATGTATGTCATATATGCCTACATTGACCCCCAAAACCACCCCAACTGATCGGCATATATGACAGTCCCATGGAGTGTTTGGGTATAGCATTTGTTTCGCCTTTTAGAGATGAAATGAGTGTCCCAAAAACCCCGTTTTCCAGCTCCTGGGAGTGAACCATCAGAAACTACCAACACCCTGGCCAGGGCCAGGCTGTGGGTAGGGATAGGGGCCCGGAAGGACCCGAACCTCGAAGCGGTCGAACCAGACTGGTGACCTGTGTGTAGAGTCGGGTGGTAGATGACACGACAGCGAAATGCCTGGACCCCCAAAGTACCACCGAATTGAGACTCACACGAATACAATACGATCAAATCCCCATGTTCTGTTGTAAGGCTCACACATGGTCCATGTTCTGCACGATCAAAACCCCAGCTCGAGGGAAACTGGCTAAGAAGTTGGACCTGCCATCACGTGGGCCTGGTGATTGGAAGAATGGGAAAGTGCTTGGTTCCGGCGGATCGCACCCGGAGATCTAAACCCTGACGAACCGCTATTTCCCTGCATGAAAACCCAAATATGGAGGGTAGAAAAGATCTTCGACACCTTCCAACACCGGCATCGGCGCCTTCCACCTCCCCCGACCAGTTCTCTGCCGAAACCACCCGAAGACCGATCCCGAGGGTCGCTTCGCCGCTCTGCAGCTCAATGGTGGAGGAGATGTCACTGAAGGAATTCACCGCCTGAGCTCGGACCGCAGCGACCGCGGTCCGGGCGCGGCGGCCGCGGTCCGGCCGGAAGAGCTCGTATACCCCAGCGGATCGGCAGAACTGACGCCTACGACTGACTCATGACGTCCAATGACTGGTGCGACACTTCGGGGTGCGAAAGGCAGAGCCATGCGCCATGCGCGCGTCTGAGAGTACGACCCTCCAAGTCCGAGTCCAACCCATGACTCCACTCGTGACAGGCTGCCGTGTAGAGGTCCATGAAACGTTTTTTTTTTCCATGCTGCTTGGCTCCCCCGGAGGCAGGCCCTATCAAGTTTTAAAAGGTACACTCCTTGACATCATGGAAGTGAAAAACACTGGGACTTGGAAACTGATCCGATATTACCCTCTGTGGCCATGCTTTGTTAGATCAGATCCGGTCCCAGCTCCTGTCCCAGCTGACCTGGAGCCCAGCCCAATCTCCTACCAGTAAGGGCACCGACATCCGAACGCATGGACCCCGTCCCTCCAAGCTACAGATGGGGCAGTGGAGGTCCCCATCCGTAGCGCGCCCTCGGGGCGGCCCGCGGGCGGATCTGTTCCAGTCTGAGCCAAGCTGCGAGGAAGCGGTTCAAGAGCTCCTGGCAGAATCGGATGAAGTCCCGTGGTGTCAGGTTTGGGGGCCTGGTGAAGTTCACTCTGCCACGGATTGAAACGTTCCCACACTTCTGAAAAGAACCCATTCAAGTACCAGGTCCTTCACCTGTTTGGGACGTTGGGTCTTTTTCTGCTAGTGCTTGTTTCGATAGATGTGGCTTCGGTCTGAATGCTGGTCTGGCCTATAAAGAACAATGAAGCCTGAATCACGAACCTCCATTGTTTTGCTAAGGATTTGGCGTCACAAAAGCAGGCTCTGGGAAGGTTATAGGGTATACACGTACTGCGGTCTGGCAGTAGAAACGGAGATGTAAGGTCCAAGACCGGGGCAAGCTACCAGGGGCCCAAAGCCATTTCCCATGAAAAACAAAGGTTTTCACTGAACATACCTGAACTATTTTTGACCACCAACCACCCGGAATATGGCCTTTTCCTATCAAAACAGGGGTCAGTTGGGTTCCAGGTACAAAATCCAGGTTTTTGGATGGGCCATGTGGGGCCCCAAGCCACTACACTTCGAAGAAATGATTCATACCCACCCATACTACTGGTCAGGAACTGACCTCATTTTATGGTTGGTCACATCAACAACCTTCAAAAACACCGAAGTGTTCAGGAGCTTTATGGTTTTATTTTACGACCGTTCGCCCTCCAATGACCCCGGCCACCGCAGATCACGTCCCTTCTCTCCTCTCCGGCGGCTCTCCGCTTGTCCCGCAGCTGTGACCGGGCTCGGAGGCGGGCACTGTCGATGGAGCCTGTGGTGCTGAGACTAGCAACGCTGAGGCTGCTACCTGAGCTGCGACTGACTGAGGCTGAAGAGGACGGTTGCGTGATGAGGCTGCGGATTTGGACGGATTTTGGGGAGGAAGTCGGTGGAGAATTCTCGCGGTTAAACGCAGAAGGAGGTGTGTGAGACAAACAAAACCGAAGCCAAGCATAGGCGACGACTTGGAAACAACAACTTGTGTTCTCACTTGGCGAATGACTGTTTTTGTGGATTGTTTGACTATGGGCTCCAAAACGTTCAAATATGATGAAATATCTAAGATGTGTGCTTGGTTCGCACATACTGGATGCCGACCAACGAACTGGCTCCAGTACCATCGAAAGAAAAAAACAAAATCAAAAAACCTACTAGCACCTTCCGGAACTCAGGGTGTCCTGGCTGGACACCCCGCTGTCCTGGTACGTGCAAGACCCTACCCAGGACACCGACAGGAAGGTCCAGGTAGAAGTTCCATGAAGTTTGTTGTGCTGATTCGTTCGGAGGGTAGGGGGTTCCAGGGTGCCATCCACGGGTTCGGATAGGGACTCCATGGGACCCTGAACAAAAAACAGGAAAACCACTCCGACATAGAACTTCTGGAAGAAAATGGAACTGGGAAACCACCGTTGGTGGAGGAAAACTGCTGTGATCTAAGGGGCCATGCCATGCCACGCTACACCACGGATTACTTCCTAGGGAGTGTTCTCCTCTTTTTTTTGGGGGGGGGGGCTTTAGCATCCCTCAGGACGTGTTAATTTTTTTTCTGTGCCCCTACACACCCACCCCGAAGTCTGCTGAGGCTATACAATTGTATGATGTTGTATGATATGGGGAGCATAATTAGAAACATCCAATGCTTGGGGAAGTATATATCAAATGCATCTGAGGACCAATTCTGCTGGATTTTGCTCTGTTCCGATCAAACATCCCTCATCATCCCTCTTTCACTCTCCTGCTGACCATGCCGCCACTGGTTTCCCTCTCTCTCTTTCCCTCTCGCCGTGTCGCCGGTGGAGTCCGTCGCAGGAGAGGAGTCCTTCGATGCTGAGGGCCGCAGGCGCAAGGCCTCCAGCGCACGCGCCGCGTCCAGTGACTTCGAACGACGATCCGCTCCAGCGGCTCGTTCCGCCGCTCGCACAGCCTGGGCCACGGCGGTTGGTGCGGATTCGAATCAAGAGGCGCAGCAAAGAAGAGGCGCGCAGCAGAGGGGCGCCAGCAGAGGTGGAAGGGTCTTGGCAGGATCTTTCACCCTGGTCTTTTCGTTGGATTGGGTCCTCTATAGGTCTGAATCTGAAAGCATTTCAAAGGCTCGCCAGACCTTCTCACCAATCCCTGCAGTTTTCAGGGAGCAAGGGCTGTGAACGGAGCGTTTGGGTCAGAGAGGCATTTTGAGGCGCGTTGAGTGCACTGGGCGGCTGCTGGGTTTATAGCATTGAGGGGTGATTGCTGGATGGAGATCATGTCAAAGCCAAACACGACTTGTTTATATTATATTGGCCGAGCACAGGCCAGGGATGGAGAAATAGGGGGTTACAGTATATGAGAACTTGAGATCCTTTGAACAGGCCTGTACATGCAGGTCTACTTACCCATACACTCCATGTATATGCCACATATATGCCTGAATTGGCCCCCCAAAACCTCCCTAATGTATAATAGGCATATATGCCTGGCAGTCCCATGGAGCGTCTGGGTTAGAGACTTTTGAGATCGCGAACGGCTCAGGTCCTAGAAATGATTTGATTGAAGATGTGAGGATGACCGGGCCATGCCATTTCGCCAGGTTCAAGAATTGGGGTGCCATCCAAAGACCACTTTGGGCAGCGCAAAAGACATGACCCCCCTTGCACCTGCCGGGTAGTAGGCCCCTGGGGAACCGCTACTCCTTCCACCGTCCAACTCTAGCACCCTCACCACCCCACCCGAAGTGAGTTTAATGTTCCTTGTCTTTCTGTGTCACATGTTGGTCTTTGTGGTTACCAAATGTTACCAGAATCACACGGATTGAAAAAGAACACTATAACCACATGGAAAAACACCACCTTCAGCACCATCTCATCTCACCACACACGATTCTCGCGCCTTCTTCTCCACCTCGACTGGCGCCTCCTCGCCCAAACTCACCTCAATTTCGACGGCCCGGACGACCCACGCGTCCCGTCCAGGGCCGTCCGACCGCGGACGTCGGACGTCGGACGTCGGACGGCGGCGACCGTGCCGGGACCGTGCCGGGACCGTGCCAGGCTCCGAGAAGGACCCTCCGAGGCGCTGGTTGGACCGGACAAGGCCCTCGAAAGGCCAAAGGGTCCAGGGACCATCGGGTTCGGTGAAGGTCTGGGGCCGACAGCACCTCCGAGAAGCTCGGAAGGTCCTGGAGCCCCGGAGGGGAACAAACAAACGCACACGCATACAACGCAATACGCATAACTCAAGGCTCAATTCGGCGATGAACATGGAATTCGACAGCAAGTGCTACCTGTTTGGTTCGGTCCAAAGCCTAGCGAACTGAGGGTCCAATGTGCCAGTGGGTAGGAAGGAGCCTCGCTTTTCTTCAGGTTTTCCACCCAAACAACCAGCCGCGGAAGTCCCAGGGGTGAAAATGGTGAAACAGAACTGAACTTCCACCTCCGGATGAAGAACACTGTCAGATGTGAAGGTTGTGTTTTTCTACTGAACAATGGGATCCCCAAGCTTTCAAACTTCTGGAAAGGATTGGAAAGGGGTACTGAATCATCACTCATCACTCGCTGCGACGGATTAAAAGCGCCCTTCTTCTCCGTGCTTAGGCATTCTTGCACGGCAAGGCAATGCTCAAATGGATAAGGATTCAGCCACGTACATGATTCAGGAACTCCCCTTTGGTGATGATGAACACCTCACAACCAGGAGCTCTTCAAGTACATTGCTTATGATGACCTGATGCTTCACAGTCTTGCTTCCTTCGAACAATAACACATGCGTCGACGTTCTTACCTGTCCCCCCCGCGCACGACAATGAATGGCTTAGCTGGTCAAAGGATTCGTCGCTACGCCTTCTTGGGGGCAGTGGATGACATGCGTTTCTCAATACTTCACGTTCACGCGAGGACTAGCGTCAGGCGGCAAGCGTTTGTAGGACGTCCCAGATATTTTTCATTCGGGGTTTTGCCTCTTATACGTAAGAAGGATTGTGCCTCCGCATTCTTGACGTTCTTTGCGATCACAGGATAACCTTCTGCCTTTCAACGAGGGTCTATAGGTCTAGGATGGTCTAGGTAGTTTACATTAGGGATTAAAACAAATGGGGCTCCAAATCGGTGACCTCCAAATCAGCCAAGCTCACCACATGTGATCTCACACAGCGGACACTCCGCGTCGTCGACATTGGGCAGGCACGGGACCGGCAAGGTAGGAGTGGAAGTCAAAATCGAAATCTCGATATCTTAGCAAGAAAGCACTGGGCATTGCAACCTGTGCCACATGTGTGCATCGCTTTTGTGGGTGTCGATAGAGCTACAAAAGGCATTACACATATTACTCAGGGTTTCCTCGGCGGTGGTTCTCTTTGAGAACACTCAGTATGCTCAGGACTCGAGCCACAAAAATCCCTGCAGGAAGATGCGGCTGGATGCGAGATACCCTTGAACGCATTGGGTACTCCAATAATCAATATCACGATGGGTCTCCTGGCTGGACTACCCTACACTGCTATCCGGCATCTCCATTGGACAGCCATTGGACCGTCCAGGTATATCATACCCTATAGGTCAATGACCTCATTTGACTGGACGTAGTCATACAAAAACCAAAAAAAACAAACCTACCAGCACCACCCAGTTCGGGTGCTGAAGATGTATTTTGTCCATCTAATAGCCACCCAAACTGGGTGGTGCTGGTAGGTTAGATGTAGAAGACCAGGTTGAGATCTGGGTCAGGACGTCGATACAGATTGGACCGATGTCCCGTCGGATGGGTCGCAGGTCGTTCTTCGGTGTTCTCACGTCCTCCAGTCGGACGCCTGGGAGAGACCAAGGACGCCCGGGGTGAAGGGCGTGCCCCGGCACTACATCCACTCAATCCATGGAACGGGACATAACATTTTTGGACAAAGGTGATGGAATTGGCTGCGGTGATCGTGTTTGCATTGAATTGGCATGCCCAAAAATCCGTAAGCCGCAAGCTGCAAGTCGCAACGTATCCCTAACACTCCTTCTATAGCTGGTATTCAGTATCTTCGGTCAGCAGCTGCTGGCAGGTTTGCGGCTGCGGCAGGTTTGAGGCACCAACTTTGAAGGCAAAACCCGCTGGATCTGAGTCGCAAGGGCCATCATGTTGGGGAAGCAACTGCCACCCTTGCGATCTACTGCCACCCTGTGAGGTACGGTGGTGATGTGTTTGACAGGAGGGCCCAAGCATACCAGATACCTTCTGATGAGAAGGCAAGTGTGGATCCCCCAGAAATAGGCCTCAGCAGCTGTACCTGACCCCCAAGCCACCTGTGGGCTTTGGGCTACTCACCTTGGCCTCCTCTTGAAGTCTTGACTAGCCAAACCCTGGCTCCGTGGAAATGAAGCCTTTCTCTGTTCATCTCTGTTCTATCTTTAGTGGGGACACTCCCCCTTTTCTCCCTCAAAGTTGGGCACATTGGCTGCACAGATTGCTGCTGGGAAGGATGAGAAGAGCAAGCAGAATGATCAGAATGATTGATGGATGACAGGATCAGCATGGAAAAAAGGTGGATCAAAAGGCTATCTCTCAAAGAGATGGCATGAGACAAGGGTGGATCAGTTTCACCATGGACCAGAAGATATTGAATACTATAGCCAAAAAGAAATTAGATATAAAGACATATAGTAAACGAGATATTTCTATTTTTCTGGGGGAGCTGGGCTTGATGAATAGGGTTCTGGCAAAACAAAAAGCTGTAAATTCAGACGGTTGCCAGGTTGCCAGACCTTCATGTCAGCTTGATGCACGTGAGTTGTTCTGCTTTGAACCAACTGTCGCCCTCCTGCTGTGCCACCGCACCGGTTCCTGCTGTGCGGCTTCGCCCTCAGGAAAACGCGGAGGCTTCGCCACGCCTGAGGATCGATCGATGGGTTCCGCGCAAAGGGCGCCCCCATCGGTGATGTTCTCTTCTTCGCTTCGAGATCGATCTACGAGCAGATGCTGCTAGCGCTGCTTCCTCTTTCGGGGATCGTAGGTGGTTCGCAGGCCTCGCATCTTCTCGCAGAAGTCTCAAAAATAAGACATGAAAAACTATGTGACGAGGCTGCTTCGTGACATGTCAATGCATCCTTCAGAAGTTCCGCCATGGTCTTTTTGAAGCTCTGCACTGACGCACTGTCATCAGCATCTTTTGAATTTGTCAGGGAGGACTTGCTGGTAAAACAAAAAGATCTCCAATACGTGCAGTTTATCCATGAATTGGTCGATGGTTTCCTTGTGAGGCACACCCAACATGTCAGATTCCCAATCAAAACAACTCTCCACTCTCCCGGCGGCACTGGCTCTGATTTAAAGGGAAAAGAACTGAACCTATAATAATTAATACACTCCCTGGAATCATGGAACTTGAAAAACCACCTGTTTATAGAGGAACATTGACATTTTTTGGGGGGGCAAGTTCCACTTCAGTTCCATGGCAAACCATGGATCACCTCCCAGTGGTCCGACCTAGGAAACAAATAACGCTGAAAAAGACATCTGCGCCGTCCGCGCCTCTCTCCTTTTTGGTCGAAGCCTTGAAGGTTTCATATCCCTAGGGATCCAAGTACCTTCTCAGAAGGTGATTGGAGGCACTGTTATGTAGATTTGGAGGGTCCAAGTACCTTCTGAGAAGGTAGTTGGATCCCTAGGGTATAGGCTATCATTGTCCTTCTATCCTGAGGCTAAGTCTAAGTGGTACCATGTGGACCCTGTTCGATCATTCCAAATGCCGTCCTTTCTGTTCCAGCACATGGACGTGGGCTGTATGGCTGGCTTTGGTGCAGCAAGGTGCTTTTTGGAACACCAAGCACGCAACATCGCAACATCACGTGACCAAGTTCCATCCTTCCATCCTACCAGGACCCGACGACAGTATACAGGTCTCTTCTATGGCGTGGCTGACCTGTGAAGTCGGGTCCTGGTAGAGATGACCTTCAAAGATTGAAACCCAACACCTGAGAACGCTTTCTACGTTTCATCACCTTCATCAGGCCTCGGCTCCTGGTGAAACACCATCACCATCACTTCGGCGTCGGCCCACGGTGTCGGTGTGCCCTCTGAGGCCCGAACATCCCGACCGAGCGCAAGAGCTCCACCGACTCCTTCCGGTTCAGCCTGTGGTAGAGGTCCGGTCACCAGGGAAGGCAGGTCTAGTGAGGCGAGTTCGCAGGGTCGGTGAAGGAGGTAGGTGAGGCGAACACTGAAGACCAGAATGCCAACCAGGTGAGGTTCAAGTTGAACTCCATTCCACCACACAATTTGTTGGATTTGGCATTGGAATATATAGACTCCCTGGAATCATCACCACTGGTCCAGGTTGGGTCTTCGGATTTCATGGTGAAATCGGAGCCATGTCATTCACGTAACTATGATGATTCCAGGGAGTGTATGTCTACATTGACCCGGAATTCCACCATGTGTGGCCTTCTTCTCAAAAACATTCCAGTTCCAGGCAGATACACTCCCGAAAACTAACTTCGGATCCGAGTCGAATGGCACCCTGAAAATCTGTTCTCCTCTAACTCTATAGCTGCACTCTAGTGGTTTTCAGGGTCCATCTTAGTTTTCAGCCGGGTTTTGTCTGGGGTTGAGTTCATATGGCGACCCGACAGAACGATGGTCTCTGCGAGTGGGACGTTGGGTCACTGCTTCCCGGTCAGTGCTCGGTCCAGTTGAACCCATCCATCTAGAACCACGACATAGAAAGATCATCTCATCCGGAGCCCCAAGCTGTGGCAAGTATGGACCCCTACAAAAACACGAGCTGACTGCAGTTTCATGGTGATGCTCCCGGGGAGGTGAGGGAAAACCCTAACCCACGAGCTCTGCAAAGCCCAAAGAAACAAACAAAACACCCCAGAGTCCGGCAGATCACCCAAATCCAATCTACACACTCGCTCAGTGGAGCGAGTGACGTAGTGTCAGGCAGAACCCGAATAGAATTGGTGTTCCTTTTGTGAACAATGCTTAGACACTTGCTTAGACTGCTTGGTATGGGGAATGTGTGTGTGTTTTGTCCAACTATCCTGAGATGTCAATTCTTCCAGTGAACTGGTCCCAGTTGTTCACGTCCGTTCACATCCGTTCACGTCCAGCTTCACCTCAAGAAAACATGGAGAAAACTCCTAGTCATTTCTGATAGTCACACACGGCATGGAATCTTCGCATGGAATCTTCTTCAGGTTTCATAGGAACCAGGATGAACCACGGATCGTTGTCCAATCCAATCCAAGATCTGCTAACATACCGGTAGACATGGACACTTCAAGTAGACCTGCCGCGCCAGACCTGCCGTGCCGCGGCGCGGCTGGCGCGGAAAGTCACGAGAACAGCGCACCCCTTTCTCCGCCTGGTCGCCCACTTGAGCGCCGTGAAGCCTTGCGATGACGCGACGGGAGGCGACGGGAGACATGTGCGATGAGGACGAGGGAAGGTTCACGAATTCCTGTAGATGTTTTGGTTGAGGATGGAGGCCAACCCTGAACTCCCTGGCGAGGAATGGCAGCAGCCAAATCCGGATCCTTTTTCAGGTCCACCGTCCACCTCTCTTGGGAAGTGGTTCTTTACCCCACGTTTATAGATTGAATGAATCCCCCATTCATGGTTTCCAGGCGCTGCAAAAGTCGTGAGTCTCATTCTTTCTACATCTGAAATTATGATCATAGATCATACCCATCCTATCGCTGGGACTGGAATTAATGCCTACGACCCCAGGTCAACCAAAAATCCCTGGCCTCATGGTCTGGGAGATAGGACCTTTTCCTCGGGCAAAGGAAAACCCACTTCCGGCAGGCTGTCAGGGTGGCTCAGAGCCACGAGACCAAAATAGACTACCGGGGCCATGGTCGCTCCTGGAGGGTGGACAGGTGGGTCCCCCGGGCCTCAAACACTGGAAAGACAGATCGACCTACCCACCCAATCGTCTCAGTTCAGTTCGGCTGCCACTCGTGGCACCAGACAGGTGTGGCGCTCTGCCAGGTGTGTCCATCGTGCCCCGTTTTCGGTGCCCAGACGGCGGTGTCCTTCCCCTAGGGCTCCTGGCCCACCTCCGTTTCGGTGGTTGGGGTGGGTGCCAGGGGGGTGAAAACCATCTTCTGAGGATATGGTTGGAGCCCTAGGGTTCTTCGTCTTCGGGGACTGACACGTGCAACCGACGGCGGCGGTCCGGCCGCTTCGGCGACGCTGACGCCCCGCGCCGTCGTCGGTGACGGCCGCACCATCTGCTCGGGCCTGAGGGAAGGGGTCGAGGAGGAAGGACCGAGGTGAGAATCGACAAGGAACCTTCAGAGGTTAAACCTGTGTCCATTCGTTTGATTCATGTTCAGTCTTCCTGGTCGGAAACCAAACACCCTATAGCTGTTATACACATGGCACGTCTTGCATGTCTCAAACGCTCCAGGGGAGATTTACCGATCAGCTAAGGGGTTTTGTCAGTTGTTGGCGCAACATCCGTCCGTTGTACCGGGAGAAAGAAAGCGCTGGCGCTCGACCCATGGACGCGACCAGGGAGTTGGGGCAGCCCACGGGTGGCCCTCTTCCCGGCATAGAAGGTGAGTAGGGAGACTATTGACGTAGGCGTCTGGGTCGGGCCCAGTCGTACTATCGGATTCTTGATGAGTTTTGTATAGAATTGTCCAAATCATACAGCAAATACATCATATGAATCATATGATGCTTAAACAAATCATTGAAACGCTTGTGCCAATGAATTCACCTCCTTGGTGGAACAATCAAGGGAGAAGACGGCCCGAGCCGGTTGAACCATCCGAAGCTGAGCTGCCAAAGTTGAAATGTCAGCACTCACCAGAAAGGCCTGGTCCAACCGTATGAAACCAAAATGGGGTGTCTTTGGAAGGCACGTTCACATATTAACCCCAGACACTCCTAATGGGACTGCCAGGACGGACTGCCGCTCAATTGACCCCCAAACGCACCACCCCTGGCCGTTTTGAAGGCAGTCCGTCCTGACAGTCCCAGACAGGTCGTGTTTGGGCACATATCCATCATCAACCACCCATGGAAACTCCGTGAAGACTCCGTGGTTCATCTCGCGGCTGATCCGCCGCCGCCTCCAAGAGCATTCGGACGATGTCGTGGTAGTCACCTGCCGGATGGGTCGCCTTGACCCGTCGACCAGTCACGGTTGAAGAACCCTGATGTCACTATAGGCTTCAAAGACTGGCCCAACATATTTATAAAGTCTAGTACACTAACCCACCCCAATTAGTTTGGTCCACCGTTTTTGTCATACTTTTGGTTTCAATACCAATTGACTTTCTTAGGGGCCAAGTCTTTGGGGTCTCTCCTCATGAAGAGATTTAGTCTTTGGGCTTTGGGGCCTCTGCTCATGAATGACGATTGAATCTAAAACACAATCTTCCGTTTTCCCTGCTGGCAGGTGCAAGGCTGGCTGGCACGGTAAGAAAACGCTGGCTGGCTGCACGTCTGCGTGAGACGCAATCACAACAGGACATGGAGTGTTTGGGAACTGGGATTTATTGGAAATAGAAACCGAATGGGTCGACCGGGTCGACCTCGTCGATCAGCTGCGTCGACGGGTGAAATTCAACAACCCGGTTGCGCGGATCGTGATCACGAACCAAAGGATATAGTACACTCGCGAAATCCAGGATATCAACAACACCCTGCACAAGCTCATAATCAGCAGGATTATCTTGGTTGAGCGCCAACCATGCTGCGGCCCAGGTCAATAGAAAGTTAATTCAAAAGATCAAAAGGATCAGCTTCTTGCAGCACAAATGTCGTGGTATCCCGGTATGTGCGCAGCCCTAAGGGTTTGTACGAAAGAAATTCCCACGCCTTGCGCTAGGAGCTTGGGCCGCGTGCGAAGCACGTCGATATTGCGCATACAGGCTGCTCCAGTATACACCGCAGCAAGTGCAGCCACAACCACCGCACAAAAAACATCACAGCAACGAAACTCTAAAGAAGGACATGAAGAGATTTAGCCTTGAGGCTCTTATTTTATGAGGAGGTTTAGGTTTAGTTTTTGGTGTCTGCACCCGGAGGGGCATCTGGCGGGGGTGTCCTGAATGGAGAGATTAAGCCTTGGGGTCTTCTTTTCGGGCCTATCCTCATGAAGACAATTGGTCTTGGAGGTCCTTTGTCACGAACAGATTTAGTCTTTGGGGCCTCTCCTCACGAAGAAATTTAGTGTTTGGTGCCTCTCGTCATGACGACACTGATATTCCCTCCTCATGAAACGATTTAGTCTTTGGCGCCTCTCCTCATTAGACTTTAGTCTTCAGTGGCCTCTCCCCATGAAGAGATTTGGTCTTGGGGGGGCCTCCTCAGGAAGGGATTTAGTTTTGGTGCCCCTCCCCATCTCCTCACGAAGAGATTTAGTCTTCGTAACCTCTCCTGATTGACCTCCCCAAAATTGAATGCCTCCTCAGTTGTACCACATGAGCATCAATCTGCTTCACTAAAGCAACATAGTCACCGCTGCTGCAATAGTTTTTCCCCAAACAGTGTGGACACATTAGGGGTTCGTTGCTATTTGCAATATACATTCATGCCTCTCAAGCTCGTCGAGAGCGGGTGCTTGTCGCGACCGCGCTCTCGTTGTGGTGCCGTTCGCATTTTCGGACATGGTGGTCACTTTTCGTGGCAGGCGCAAGGGAAACCTCGTCTTTTGGTGGTCCAAAGTCGACTTTTCGTGACAGGCGCAGAGGGATCGGAGCGGTTTTACCTCGAAATGCAGATTTCGTGGCAGGTGCAGCACGGACAACGCTCTGATTTCGTGACAGATGCAGTGAGTGAGAGTGAGAGTGAGAGGGTGAGAGAGTGAGTGTGAGCGTGAGAGTGAGAGGGTGAGAGCGTGAGAGCGTGAGAGAGTGAGTGAGTGAGTGAGTGAGTGAGTGAGTGAGTGAGTGAGTGAG